CGGGAGGTGGAGCTTGCAGTGAGCTGAGATCGCGCCACTGCACTCCAGCCTGGGTGACAGAGTGAGACTCCATCTCAAAAAAAAAAAAAGTCATGGGAAGTACCTACTGTTCTAAGTCACTGTTTTGTACCTTCTATTTAGGTCATCAAACTTGCCTTTGAAGAATTTGAGCTGGAGCGAGGCTATGACACCCTGACAGTCGGTGATGCTGGGAAGGTGGGAGACACCAGATCGGTCTTGTACGTGTGAGTATGTTCTTGAGCTTCTTCTCCTGTTATGCATGCAGTGCGGGGCACGGTGGATGGAGATGAGATTCTGCTACTGGCTTGCAATTCGGCCTCAGGTGTTTGGTTAGTGCCATTTATGGCTAATCTAGTGGCCTGCAATCTGATTTCGTATGAGAATAAAATATGAGTATAATTTAGGATTATGTTTTATCTGTTTCATTTGTTTTCCTTCATTAAAAATATGTTTATGACAAAAATTAGTACACTCATGAGGCAGCAAAAAATAATACATTTTTCAAATCAACTCCCCTTTCTTTTTTTTTGAGACAGAGTCTCACTCTGTCACCCAGGCTGGAATGCAGTGGTCCGATCTCAGCTCACTGCAACCTCCACCTCCCAGATTCAAGCATTTCACCTGCCTCAGCCTCCTGAGTAGCTGGGATTACAGGTGTGCACCATCATGCCAGGCTAATTTTTGTATTTTTAGTAGAGATGTGGTTTCCCCATGTTGGCCAGGCTGGTCTCAAACTCCTGACCTCAGGTGACTTGCCCACTTCAGCCTCCCAAAATTCTGGGATTACAGTGTGAGCCACCGCGTCCAGCCAACCCCCCCTTTTTTAAACTCTCTCCTCTGCTTCCCTGTGATGTTACATTATCAGGGTTTTTAAAGAAGTGCAGATGCTTTCTAGTTTGGGAAATATAGGTCTTTTTTGGAATAATGTCATACACCTTTCCACGCTTTCTGTAAAACTTCATGATAAAGTAACAGACATCATGGGGAAAAGTGTTGGGGGTGACTCAGTGTACCTCTGAAGAACTCTGTTTCCAGAGTCTTAGCAAGAATGGTGACAGCCCTTGCTCTGAACATTTGCAGACTGATCCCACTTCTCAGTTTTTACCAGGATCACAGACTGTTCTGCAGCCCTCTGACCTGGGCATCCGCTTTAGCTACGTCCAGAGAGACGGCCTCAAAGACAGTTTCTGTCCGTTTTATCAGACCTGGTGTATCAAAATTAGGAAAAGTGATTTGGGGGTGTACTTCCTCTATGTTTTTAGCAGAAAGGAAATACCCGCCTCATCTGCCTTTGCCACTCCACAGATAGCTTCTCTTCATGATGTAGACCTTGAAACCACTAAACCAGAGCATCTTTCATTAATGGAAAGTGTTCTGCAGGTGTTCGTCTTGGTTTCTTTGTCGTCTTGTGTACTACTGAGGATGCCTCTTCATTTGTGAGGAAGCTCCCCCCGGTAGCATCCCATATTTCTATGCTAGAAAAAAAGGTGCAGTCTATTATGCTCACCTGATCCCCTTATTTATTGATTACTTATGAGACAATTCACACATTGAAAAAGCTCTAGCCAACTGTTCTGTATATTCCCTTAAAAATCGATAAAGCCAGAATAGGACTCCACCAGGAACGTGCCTCCTTCCTTCATTGTATCTTGAATACTTTGCAAGAGAACACGTACTTCTAGCTTATCTTCCTGCTGGCGTATTCCAACTATTACTAATCATCATAATTGAAATTATGTTGCTGGACCACAACTTATGATAATAATGATGAGGACAACACTAGTAATATCATAGCTAACTTTTATGTATCTCTTACGCACCATGCACTGTGTTAAATGCATAATACATTTTACCTTATCTGATCTTTACTATAATCCTGGGAATTTGGGGCTAATAATATCATTGTTTTGTCAGTGATGAAGCTGAAGTTTTGATAGGTTAAAGGATTTACCCCAATTCACAAACCTAGTGTATGCTGAGGCAGGGATTCCAACTCAGGGATGTGATATTGTTCCAGGATCTGGAGTCTTCATCGCCTGTAGACCTACCATGATTTTAACCTGGTTCCCTTTGACAGTCTTTTGCATCTGACGCTCACACCCCCACCCCATTATTTCACTTCCACAAGCAGCTGTGAAGTGAATGTCTTTGTATGTAGACGTTGGCATACTTGTTTGGTATACCTTCAGGAACATTTCCAGCGAGGAATTTTGGGATGAAGAGGCATCTTCATTTACACTGTTATGTTTCTCCAATTATCCCCCCCCAAAATTTATATAAACCACAGTGGAATATAAAGGATCCTATTTTTCCACACCCTTGCCAAATGATGACTCTTTTTTGTTGACAAATTACTAGGTTTAAAAAAATAGGCTTTTTTTATTTTTAAAAACAGAGTCTTACATCTGAGGGCCCAGATACCTATATTTTGAGCAAGCCTCCAAGGTGATCGTCACACACACTGGCTGCCTTTGACCTGGGACAGTGCTGGGAACAGCACCACAGTGGATAGAAACGAGCCGGCAAGTCAAAGACAGAGTTTCTGGCTCCAGCTATTTGCTATCCCCATGACCCTGAGGGAAGTCATTCTCCCTCTCTCTACGTCTCTTTTCCTGGCGGTAAAATATGTATAATAAACTTTTCCAGCCTCTGGAAATGAGAAAAATGAAATAATGCATGCGAACACTCCAGAGAGCTGAAAAATGTAACCCACACATATTATTATTACCAAAACACCTAATTTAAGAGAGGATGTCACTAAAATAAATGAGGAAAATTGTTAAATACCGGCAACATTTAAAATATAAATGCAGCTAGGTGATGCCGTATGAAATCCCTTAGGTTATTATTAAAGATCTACAATCATACACTCATTTTTTAATGCGATTTGTTGTTAAGAAAGCAATTGCAAACTCTGTATTACATTGACATAAGGGTTATTAAAGCCTTCTCTCAATGGCTTGAATCTATAAATGAAAAACTAAATAGCCGACTGAATCAAACTGAGATGCCCTTTGGGAGACAGTGTAACCAGGACCAGCGGGGCATTTAATCAGCCGCAGAAGAGGAAGGAAAAACCACTGATATATGTCCTCAGTGTACCAGATCACAGAAAAATAACAGAACACAGTCAGAGAATCACAGCTGGTCTCTTTGAATAAACAGGTAATTTCAGGTGCTACATCAACAAATACTTTTGGGTACTTATATGCAAACATTCTTCCCAGCATGGAGTCTAACATCTAATTGGAGAAATGACGGATACACTGGAATAGTTTAAATACTAGTCAGTATATGAAGTCAGAGGGTCACATGACACACATTTTAAATAAAGCAGCAGTTTAAAACCTCTTCATGGCAGACTGGCATTCACTACTTTAAACTCAGTATTTTGTGGGTTTCCTTCTTGTGGGAAATATGGAATTCTAGTTAAATCTGGATTATAAGAGAAATTTGGAAAATGAAATAGACTAAAAGTAGATCGCTCACCCTAAATAGGGTTTTAACATTTCTTATTTCTGAAGAGAAATTTGGAAAATGAAATAGCCTAAAAGTAGATCGTTCACCCTAAATAGGGTTTTAAAATTTCTTATTTCTGGTAATGATTTTTCATTTTCTTAATTTTTATGACACAATATGGAAGAATAAAAACATTAAGGAACTCCTTCAATAATCCACCTTCCCTGAGAAGTGGATGAAGAAACTTGGGTCATATTTATAGAATGTCAGACTTAAAAGAAAATTAAGTAACTTTCTTTGCAAATGTCTGTTGAGTTCTTTCCAAGCACATCTATTGAGATTGTTCTTGAATTTAATTTGCAGAGGAACTGCATGGAGAGGTATGGCCTTCCCCGGACTTCCTCTGGCCTTTGCAGCTATTAGCCATTGGTCACCAGGGGATTTCATTAATTTCGGATGTTCTGTGGGCGGCAGGCACAGGTTACAGTTTTAAAATGCCCGTCCGTCTACGAGAATGAATAGTCAATATTATTGGAGACATCTGTGAGCACGCAGGGTAGCCTCTGCCTAACCAGATATGTGGATTAACAAATCAGGATCCTGGTTCTTTCTTAGGGCTGGATTCATCCATTTTTGGTGAAACTACTTCTTGCTCCCAGACACTGCCTGGTGTGGCTGAGACTTCATTTCTCCCTGCTGTTTTCCGCTGATCCTGATTCAAAGGGCATCATTCTCTTTTTCTTAAAGACTGCTGAAGAGCCATAAAAAAGCAGACACTATGCACAGACGTGTGCGTGTTTGTGTGCATATCTTCATGTATCTTTAATGTTATCACAGAGTTAATCACTAAACATTTAGTGCTTTGGGGGAAAGCATAAACAATTGATGTTGGTAATAAAGATATAAAGATATTGACTTAAATACATCCTAGATTTAAAAAAAAAATCAGAAAACATGATTAGAAATCAAACCAATTAGAAACAAGATTCTTAAAACTCTGGAATCACATGATCCCAACTATTTTTCTGTATATTATCTTTCACATAATGGCACAGCCTGTGAGTCTGAATGCCACTGATAATATAGACAGACTCAACTGTTTGAACCCTGTTCTTGACTTAAAGTCTATCCATTGTTAGCTTTTCTTTCCTGGCCTCTTATCTGGAAGCTTTCTGGCTTGATTCTTTGAATAATTATTTATTGAATGCCAAATATTATGCTAGGCCTCAGCTAGGAGACAGAGAGAAAGAATAAGCCATTGTCCTAGCCTTGAGGACTAATTAGCCTACTGATATAAATTTCACATAATTAGCAATATGAATCTATATTATTAATAGTAAGAGTGCTAGTATTGCTATAAATTTTATATGATATTTTATACTACGAGAAGCATGCTATCTTCTTCATACATTTATCTATTGGTTTTAGCCTTGAATGTAAGAGGTCAAAAGAAATGTTATTGGCCAAGCATGGTGGTACACGCCTATAATCCCAGAACTTTGAGAAGCCGAGGAGGGAGAAATACTTGAGACCAGAAGTTTGAGACCAGCCTGGGCAACATGATGAAACCTTGTCTCTACAAATAATAATAATAATAATAATAATAATAATAATAATAATTAGCCGGGCGTGATGGTGCATGCGTGTAGTCCCAGCGACTCAGGAGGCTGAGGTGAAAGGATCGATTGTGTCCAGGAGATCAAGGCTGCAGTGAGCTATGATCACCCACTGCACTCCAGCCTGAGCAACAGAGCAAGACACTGTT